ATGGGTGGACTCACCCTCATCTTCACATGCATAACATACACGCACGCAAGCATGCGCGCGCGCGCACACACACACATGCACACACACACACACACACACACAGACTGGGATAATTGGGCTAGAAATTTAAACTATATAACAACAAGAAAATGCCATTATTATGCTTTAAAATATTATATAAAATAGAAAAGAAATTTTAAGAAACAGGGTATGGAACCCCTTTACCTCTATATCAGATTTATTATGCTTAGATGGCTAATGTAGTCATTTTCTTTTTTTATTTATTTATTTTATTTTATATATTGATCCCAGTTCCCTCACCCTCCCTCTCTCCCTTTCTCCCACCCTCTCATGGCCCCTGACTACCCTTCCCTCCCATTCCTCCCCACTCCATATGTAGGGTGATACCTTCCACAAGGGGTCATCCTCCTGGAGTAGGAGTCATTTGGAGTAGGGACTAGACTTTCTCTCCTGTTTCTATGTTAAGGGAGTATCCCTCCATGGGAAATGTGCCCCCAAAATCCTATTGTGCACCAGGAATACAACCTGGTTCCACTGTTCAAGGTCCCTTAGACTGCTCAGGCCTTCTAGCTGAGACCCATGTTTGGGGAGCTGAGTCAGTCCCAAGCTGGATTCCCAGCTATCAGTCCTCCTTGTTCAGGTCAGCTGTCTCTATGTGTTTCTTTAGCCTGGTCTTGTCCTCTCTGCATCTGGATTCCAGTTCAGCTCAGTGTTTAGTTATGGGTGTCTGCTTCTGTTTCCATCAGCTACTAGATGAGGGCTCTATGATGGTGGATAAGTTAGTCATTGATCTAATTATCAGGGAAGGGCATTTATGGTATCCTTTCCACTGTATGCAGTCATTTTCTTAACTGGGGATGAAGGGATATGTAGTGAAATGAGACAGACAGTGAGTCAGAGGTGAAAGTTCTCAGGATGTGATGGATGTTTCACATAACATATCACCTCTAATTCAAATTTGGGGAATTATTAGCTTATAGCAATAAAACAGATGTCAAACTTCAAGAAATTTGTGGTTCTATATCATAATTGAAGTGTATCAAAGTAGGAGAGATGTGTATGGACCCCTGAGAAAGGGAAGGGGTGGATTGGGAGCATGGGGGGAAGGAAAGGGACATGGGAGAAAAAGCAGGTATTAGGTAGGTTGAGTTGGAGGAAGACCGAGAAGGAGAGCAAGGAAAGAGATACCTTAACAGAGGAAGCCATTATGGGCTTACCAAGAAACCTGGCCCTAAGTAATCTCTAGGAACCCACAAGGATGACCCCAGCTAAGAGTCTAAGCAATAGTGGAGAGGCTACCTTAAATGCCCTTCCCCTATAATGAGATTGATGACTACCTTAAATGCCATCATAGAGCCTTCATCCAGTAGCTAATGGAAGCAGAAGCAGAAATACACAGCTAAGCACTGAGCTTAACTCCTGGAATCCAGTTGTAGAGAAGGAGGAGTGATGAGCAAAGGGGTTAGTGCCTTGCTGGGGAAAACCACAGAAGCAGCTGACCTGATCATGTGGGAGCTCATGGACTCCAGTCTGACAGCTGGGGAAGCTGCATAAGTCCAAACCAGGCTCCCTGAAGGTGGGTGTCAGTTAGGGACCTTGGGCAGTCTATGGGAGCTCTAGCAGTGAACCAGTATTTATCCCCAGTGCACGAATGGACTTTGGGGAGTCCTTCCCTTTGGAGGGAAGGTCTCTAGGCCTGGATGTACAGGCCCTGTCCCAAATAATGTGACAGACTTTGATGATGACAGATTTGATGGAGTAGGATGGGAGGATAATAGGTGGAATGGGAGGATGGGAGGGAGTGGGAACTGGGATTGGTATGTAACATAAGATTATTTTTAATTTAAATAAAAATCAATTTAAAAAAGAATAAAACTTGATGGGCATCTATGTTGTTTCACTTCCTAGCTACTGTGAACACAGCAGCAATGAACAAGAATGGGCAGTAGGATATAGAGTCTTTTAGGTATATTCCTAAGAATGATGTAAGTGGAAGATCTATTTTTCTAAACTTTCACACTGATTTCCATAGTGGCTGAATCAGTTTGTACTTGCATCAGCACTAAAGAAGTGCTCTGCTTTCTCTCAAGCCATGCCAACATTAGTTAGTTGTCTTTTCTTTCTTTCTTTTTTTAAATTTAGCTATTCTCAGTGGGGTAAGATAAAATATTAGCTATTTTAATCTGTTTTGTTCAATGCCACCTTTTAACATTCAATTGTTTTTTCTTGATGAATACACACACACACACACACACACACACACACACACACACACACATATATATATATATGTTATAGATACTGATGTAAATCCCCCAGTGCTGGGTAAAAGAGAGCCATGCCGGCCTTTTAAAGTGGGTAGTGGGGATTCAAACCCAGGTCCTCATGCTTGCACAACAAGCACTTTACTCACTGAACCATCTCCTCAGTCCTGTAACTAATTTTTTTCTTAGAAGTTACTCTGCTGTGTATTATTTACCTGTCTAATTTTCTTCTTACTCTTCTGACTAGCTACTGCTTCAGGTTTTTCATGCTTGGCACTCAGGACTTAATTATGGCCAACCACCTTCTGATGAATGAAACTCTAGTTAGTATTGTGCTCAGTCTTTTACATAAGATAATAATGTGGAATCTGCACCACATGCATAGATTGAATGTCTTTATGCTAAAGTGGGATGAATAGTTTCCATTTCCTATTTTTAATTGCAAAGTCACATTGCCAAGATTCTTGCACAAAGTCTGCATAAGTCTACCAAGACTGAATGTTGGAGAGATCTACAGGACTACTGGGGAAAATGATGAGTGGCAGATGGTAGTACTGCTATAGAGTGTGATCGCTGCTGCATCACCAAAGTCTGTATTGGGGTGATACATTTGTTTGTTCTAAAGGGCTTATTTGCATTTGGCTGGATTCCAGCTCATAATATAAAGTGTTGAGTGTTCATTAAGAAGCAACACAATTTCTTTCCTAGTTAGTAAAGCTTTTTTTTTTTTTTTTCTCAATCCATTCTTGTGGACTCATTTTACACATTAGGATGTTTGCAGTTGCATACAGGTAAAATTTCTCATGTTCTTTTAGTAGTACAGACTTTACATTTTCATCACAACTGTTCCTGAGAATTCTCTGGTGATGTCACCAGTCCTCTGGGTCACTCCATCAGTTGCTGAGAATAGTTGATAGATTTCCAGTTTTCTGATGTTTTATGAAATGGATGAAAATTCAATAGAGGTATAGACATATAGATCAGTACCTTGATATCTGAGTGGTGAGAGGCATCAAAAAAGGTATGATGATGGCTACACCATTTGAAAGATGACTTAGCTTATCTTGCTTTGATCTTGGTGTGTTCTCAGTGTTTTCTATCTAGACCAGCTGCAGCTGCTTTCCATACATTGGGATGCACTCTGCTTAGGATCTGTCTCCATCAGGGCTTCAGTATACCCTTGGGTCTGATTTCAATGGCTCCCCTGGACCTGTTCATATTACTTAGCCTGAAGTCTCTATTTACTTACCCATTGAAAGGGATCCCGTTTTAATCCAGAGAGAACATAGATATGGCTATCTTTGCATGAGTGATAGACATGTATTAGTGAACTAATTGTTTTTCTTATTGTTATAGACAAACCTGACAAAATTAATTCAAGAAGAGATTATTTTATTTTATGTTGAGTTCATACAGACAATTGCAAAGAAGCCATGATGACATGAGTGTAAGACAGTGGGTAATATGCCCACAGTCAGGAAGCAGAGAGACATGAGTGTTAATGCTCATCTGATCTGTTTTCCTATTTTTATTCATCTTTGGTCTGCAGACCATAGGATGGTGCTTCCCATACTCAGGCTCGGTTCTCCATAGTCAGTTAAACCTCTTTGGAATCACACACCCTGGGTCATTCCAGGTTGAGTCAAGCTGAAAATAAGTTAATCATCACATCTTGATTGGTGTTTATTTTCCTTCTCCACTTCCTTCTACCCATATAGTTGGATGGCTAAGGCATCCAAGATAGATACATTTTTTTAAAAATGCCTGTGAACATTCTAATGGCTTTGTAAGAACCCTTCCTTAACTTAAATTGGTTGACTTCAGCTTTCCTTACCCTGTAAGGACACCCTTCCTACCTCAGTTCAGATTCCTTCTTCAGATTCTCATAAGGTACTCACAGCTGACCTCAGTGTGTTTAAGATAATATGTCACCTCTTTCCATTTCTTTGGGTATTTTAACAATAAAACAAATGGTTTGCTACTTAAAATATGATCTCACATTTATTTCTATTACGTTCCTCCAAAAGTAATTAATCAGGTTACTCTGATTTCTGTGGGTAAAATGCTATGAATTATCGTGCTTCAGAACTACTCCCTAATAGCCATTCTGTCAAATGGTTAAACAACCAGGAAAAGCTACACTAACAGATGTTTGTACAAGCAATATTATCTCTAAAACAAATACCCACAATGCTCTGCATTTTGAGTTAACAACAACAATCATAATCCATTTAGTTTAACTAGGTAAGACCTTTTTAACTGGTCTGTGCAGTTGTCAGAGAGAATATTCTTGCAAGCCTGTTCATGTGTATACATTTATGTAGGTGCATTCTGTGTGTGTATATGTGCATCTATGTGTGTGTTCATGTGGATTCAAGCAGTGGGCCTTGAAGGTTAGTGGTCAGGATGTCAGCCATCTTGTGTTTAGACATAGGTCTTTCACTAGCCCTGACTCACTGAACTCTCTGGCCAACAATCCGCACATCTCCACCTCTGCAGTGCTGGGATTAGAAGCAGATGCTAACCCTCCCTCCAAGCTTTTTATGTTATCTCAGTGTACAAAACACAGGTTTTCATCTTGTACTGCACTTACCTTACTGACTGAACCAACTTAGAGAATATTCTTGAATCAAAAGGAGACAGACATACCACAGAAGTAGAAAAAATACATGGAGTTATGTCAACAAGAAAAGCTGGGGTAAAGGAAACAATTACCTTAGGGTCATGAATTCCAGAAAGCTCTTCATAGATCTTCTCACCTACCATGACAGCAGCCAAATTTGCCGTGTATGTAGAAAGGCAAAACATACAGAAAATGGCCCAAAGATTCATCAGAAATCTTCCAGTCCAGCATTTTGGGGGTTTGATGGCTGCTGTTCTGCCAAACAGAAGGGCATAGCAGACGTTCAAGGCAGAGGAGAAGGAGAAGACTTTATTTCTATTCCGCCCCTTAGGAGTCATACCAAAGGGGCTCTTCCATTCATACAGAGTAAGAAAGATGGCAGTGATATGCAGAGCCACAAAAATCCCCAGCCACATGGTCCAGTGGAGTGGCCACATGAAGGCTCCAATTGGAGCTGCTGTGTCTCGAGTCCTCACTAAGATGCCCAAACTGGTTGAGAAGAAAGGGCTGGTGAAATCTATCACCTGGCTTCGAGCAGTATTGATGCTGAAAGAAGTGACTGCCATGTTGGCAGTTCCACTCAAGAGATCACCAACCAGCCCAGTCCAATGACCATTCTTCCAAGCTCCATACTTTCCATCCCCTACAATATAGAGGTCAAAGTCAAAGTTCATGTCTTCTGCTAACTGTTCCAGCAGATCAATGCAATACCCATAACAGCACTTCTTGAATTTGATTGGCACTGTATCATTGCTGCTATGGAGGCTGTTAAATAGGCTGTCCAATATGGAGGAGTCATTAGTCATAGGATCTAGGCAGAGTTGTCCAGCAGGACATAAGCCTTCATCATCTACTTCTCTTGTGAAAACGAATGGGTGTTCAATCAATGTCACCACTCTCAAGTGTAACTTATTGGAGTGCTGGTAGTGGGTTTTGTGCCTCTGGGCCTGCTCTGGCCATATTCCAGAGTCCATGACAATCCTTCCCTCTTGCCAGCTGCCCAGGCGAGTCCACATTGGCTTTCCTACAGGGTCATGTTGCAAGTTCCAGATGAAAAAGTTGTTTTCGGAGCTGATGATGGTAGAACCTTTTACTTTGATGGAACCACTGAGACCTCTGAAAGTGGTGTTGGCTAAAAACCTGGTAAAGAGGACCAAAAGTAGAAAGTAAGAAAGAGAGGCAATGTACAAAGTCAAGAACCAGTGCTGAACCTTGCTTCTCTGTCTTAATAAAACAAGTCTTTTTTGGGGGGGGTTACAAAAGCCCTTTTATAAAGCCATTTTAAAACAAAACAAACCAAAAGGTTTACAAAAGAAAAGAAAAAGATACAGAAAAGAATAACTTGCTTCATATGTCCCCAAAAAGAGGAAAAAAATAAATTAAAAATAAAGGGGGCAATGCCAACATGCTCAACAATAAGGGGTTCTTTTCCTTACTTTTTTTTTTTTTAATACAAAATACAAGCAAAGGATACACATACTTAAAACCAAACCTTCTTGTATACCTTTCCTTCCTCTTTTTAAAATTCATAGCATCTTATTTCATTAATTGTTGTTACAAACATATATGTGTAACTTTCTCAGTTTGTATAATGTTACTTGTATTTATGTTTCAGGTCTGACCATTTGATATTGGAAAACCGATTGGTATGCTCTTCTCTGAGGATTCCTACTTTTAAAAACAAAGGCTTTGTCTTTCTTCAAGAATAATATAGACTTTCTGGAAATGTTCTATTTCTTTGAACTATTAAGATCTCACCTTCAAGTTCTAGTACTGGCAAGTTGCTTCAAAACTGGTTTTACTCCAAATGTTTTATTTGATTGTTAAAACTATCACTCATTGCTATTATATATTTCCACAGCTTTACAACTTATGGAGGTTCTGAACACTTTGACTTTCAGTTCTACTGTTTACAAGTTTTGATTGTTATGAATCTGTTTAATGAAATTTTTGTTATAGAAATGAGTTTTACAGAGTACAAGGTGATCCTACATTCAAAACAGCTGGACAAAGCAGCCTTACAGACTACAGCCAGGATTTCTGAATCTTCTTCAAATCCCCCATGACAGCGCCCCTTACCAGCAGGAAGTAGTTTGGAAAGAACGACGCCCAAATTCCCAAATATTGTGTATAAATGTATGTTTTCATTTAATTGGACTTTGTTATATAAAATAAAATAATAAAAAGAGAAATGAGTTTTAATAAATATGTATATTCTTTTATAATTGCTTAGAATTGCATTTATAACTTTAGGGAATAGCCAACTGTTGTACAATGTTTTTCCTTGTAGAGTAGATAATTAACATATCTTTCCTCCTGGGGCCAATCAGAGATGCATGCTGGATATTATCCATAGAACAAAGAAAAGGATTGTAAATAAACTTGCTGTTCGCAGGACAGCCTTAAGCTACCCTCCATCATCATTAGAAAAAGAACAAACAAAACAAACAAACAACAAACAAAAACAAAAACACAAACAAACAAAAAACAAAAAAAACCCAAAAACTGTCCCTGATTCTAAAGAATCCTCTAGAAGTCAAAGCAAGGAAAACAGCTAACTAAATTCTACATGATTTCTAGCCCTGTGAACTTGAGCACTTTCAGTATACATTCTGACACTGACTAGACAGGAAAATACTTGTTCACAGTACCTGTCTTTCTTGAGCCGGATGAGGAGATAATAAGAGCTAACACAAATACTTAATGGTGACCTTGTTTCAGAATAAAAGCTCAGATTTTGGTGTTAGATGGACTTGCATTTGAACCTTCATCCAATTACCCAATAGTAGGGACCCTGAGCAGGTTACTTGTCTCTAAGATTTAATTTAATTCTTAGCAAAAAAAAAAAAAAAAAAAAAAAAAAAAAGAGGAAACTAATCTTTGTTGCATTACAAGACTTTCAAACAGTACATATAATATACAACAAACCTTTCATGTAAAGATGTTGTGGTATTAGCTGGAGACCAAACCAACGTATTGGCATAAACTTTTAGTAGTGATTTAAGCATATTTAAAATGAAAAGGAGTTACATTGAAATGTGACTTGTAGCTTAGTAGGTGTTTTGAGATGCCAGTGACACAGGTCTAGCAGCCCAGAGAAACATATTCATGAATTGCCTGCAACATATATTATTCCATAATTTACAAATGTAGAAGAAGTCTTGCTAAGAAATCATGTTGCTACAGAAGGGATATAGAAAAATCAGAAAGTGTGAAATATGCCTTAATTTTCATTAGTTATAAGTGTGAATCACATTTGAAGATGCTACTGTCACTGAAGGCAATGAAACCATTTGTTGTGGTAGATTGCATGTAATGGCAATCACTCATGTGAACGTACCCCAGTGGGACTCTACTACTTAAATAAATTCTATTTTGCAACAAGTAATGAAGTCTCAGCTATCTTAGACTCTAAAACATATTTCTACTTCAGAGAAGCAGTAAAGCAAATCATTAAAATCATATATAGGTTAATCAATTGACAATTCCCTTGGATCCATAAAAGAAGAACAAGTATGATGGTGTTTCTAATAAGATATCTACCTTTAGATTTCTTTTTTAAAAATTATTTTATTATTTTACATGTCGATCTCAGTTACCTCTCCCTCCATCCCTCCCTCCCTATTACCCTCTCTGCCCCCTCACATGCCCCTTGACCACCCTCCCCTCCCATCCCCCATCCCAATTCCACATGTAGGGCAATGCCATCCAGGTGGTAATTTCTCAAAACATGCCACACATGGGATGCTGGCATAACTAAGGGAATTAAAAGGCTCATGGTAAATGGGCATTAGCTAATTTTGGGATCACAGAAACATAAAGTAAAAGTTGTAGAAAGAACTCTTCATTAGTTTGAGACTATTTAGGGCTTAATGATGATGGAGTTCAAACTGGAAAGAACCAGGAGAGACTTCTGACTAAATATATATTTGAATCCTCCTGGTTAAAAGGCATTAGAAGTCTGTAGAAATCTTTCATTGATTAGATGGTTCCAAATTTTGGTAAAGCTTCATTATCTGTGTGAACATATTTTGGTAAAGCTAGTCTTCATTGTCAGTGTGAACATTTAACATGGCCATGGCTGAAGAACAATGACCAGTGTCTCTGTAGCAAAAAAAAAAAAAAAAAGCAAACCACTCAGGATTCTAATATCCCCAACCACTGTATCCCCGAAAACACAGTGCATATTTTACTGTGAGACAGTCATGGAGAAATTCTGTCCGTACTTATGACAGATCATTTGTATCTGTCATATCTTTCATTTTATTGTGAGGATAAATGAAAACAATCTCATTGATAGCTTTTAGTTACAGCCATCCTCACTATGTATTCTTTGTTGAAAGAATGACAATGGGTAGCTAAGTCTGGATTTTCACTCTATTACCTGGAAGATTAAAAGGTTGAAATCTCATTTTTGCTTAAATTGAATTCCACCATGCCCTTCTGTACTTGCCCTGGACTCTTCTTGGATGAACAAGAGAGAAAAAGAAAGCGAGGAATCATTTTGTTGGCAAGATAAATGGATACAAACCACCTGGCACCGTGCTTAGCACTTATGGCTATTGAGATGAAAGCCACCTCATTGGCTTAAAGAGCTCAAAGACTAGATGTAGGGGAAAAGAAAATGAGTAATGATTCAAGCCCCTGTAATAAGTGACATGACAGACATTTCACAGCCTTGAACATTCTGACCCAGGATACCAAGGACAGAATCTTAAAGGAAGAAGAGCAGGACTGAGTGTTGAAGGGAAGTTACATTTTTGTTTTTTGGAAGAGAAGCTGGAAAGTGATGCAGTCATCTGGGTGAGACACATACAAAATCTAGAAACAAGGGTGCAAGCCATGAGACACACGTGATTAAAAGATATGCTCAGAGACAAGGGGTGGAAAACAAACTATGTCAGATCTGAGACCTCAGTGGAGTCAGTGGGGAACCACTGAGGGAATTTTGTCTGGCAGGGACATGAATCTTTTTCTTTGCCAGATATCTAGGTGATACTTTTGGAGGATGAAGAAGCTGACAACAATTCTGATGTGAAGAAAGATGGTTTTTCTCTCATCTTATTCTCTTCTTCCTCTGTTGTTCCATACGTAGCAGATGCAAAGAGGTGAGAGATACTTCATATTCACAAAGAAGATTTTAAGAGGACAGATGCACAGGGTTACATTTATTTCACAAACTATAGTGAGAATACACAAAACTCAGCTTGACAAGAGGTCATGTAGAAAAGACCTGTAGGATGCAGCTAGCTAAAAGTGCATGATAATCCTGGAGAGCATTGTGGCTATAAAAAACAGGCAAAAATAATCCTAAGGTTGTTTAGTAGAATTGAGAGCTTGCATCCAAAGACATAATAACATTATGAATTTCTGTGCTCATAAATCAACCGCTCTAATCTAGGGTATGGACTCTCCCTCACATCTTCCGGATCCAGAACTGTTATAATGAAAAGTGGTAGAAAGTATAAGAGAGAATAGTAAATACAACAATATGATTGGCATGTGAGGTAGAATACATTAAAATTTAATGCAGGGAAAACAGGTGGCATCTAGATTATGAAGGTTCACACACCTGTTTCATAAGACTGAGTTTTATTTAATAGTAAAATGAGAACTATAGAGATTTCTGAGCAGTTTAATGACATAGCCAGTGGTTTTAGATATATTAACATGGAAACAAGTAAAATGTGTACAAGAAAGAATTGATGATGACCCCAATGCCATGTAGAAGAATATTATAGTGTATTGATATTGTTAAGTACACAGATTGATGTGGCTTGAATCTCACGAAAGAAGAAATCATTTAGCACTGTGCTTTGCACATAATTTTTTTTTAAGAAATAAGTTCAGCAAACCCCCCAAGGCATCATCTACATGAAATAATGGGGCTCACAGAATGTACCAGATCTGTGTTTAATATATTTGTGATTTATTTTGGAAGCCATGTTGGCATACAAAATCTTGACAGGTTAACTAAAAGATTTTTGTATTCAGCAAACAAATGGAAGATATTTTAAAAGATGATGCATCAGTTATTAAACGTCTACTTATTCACAAATAGTCACTATAAGCCAGGCACTGTTCTAGATTCTAGGTGCAGAGTGGGGAATGGCAGTTTATGCACTTATGTTCTACAGAAA